GTGTGTGTGTGTGTGTGTGTGTGTGTGTGTGTGTGTGTGTCCAGAGCTAATTAATGTAAGCAGGCGTTTATTGGTCATTGTTTTTGTTTTATTTCTATGAACCTTGCTGCCATAAATGTTCTTTCTTTTAATGAGAAGGGTTTGTTGTGACTTCACTTGTGAATCATTATAGATAGATAGATAGATAGATAGATAGATAGATAGATAGATAGATAGATAGATAGATAGATATGTGTGATAAGCGTTCATAAACATAACAAAGGGCTTTTTGAGTTATAAAACTTTAATTCCTGAAGGAAAGTATTAAAACCAGTGTCTTAAATACAATTTTGTTTTACTGTCACTTGGGAGAAGCTACATTAGTCTCAAACATGGAGAAATGATATGAACCAATACCACATTTTCAGTGTTACAGTGTGTCTTGTGTCTTTTATAAATGCGAAAACTATATCACAGAAAACTTTTTTACAGCAGTGACTGATTCTACTTTACTGCTCAGCTCATCATGCCAATTTTGTTAACTTTATCCACTGAAATTATTAACTAAGCCTAGGACCCAACATATGGCCTATTTATTGTATGCATTTTGTTACAATTATTTATTTGTAAGTTTGTTTTCATTGCAAAGGACGCAAGAGAAAATAAAAAAAGAAAAGAAAAGAAAAAAAATCCAAAATAAATGTCTACACCAAAACATGATTCACTTTTGTCTAAAAGGGAATGTTTCTGTTTATGTCTAGACGTAAAAGTTGGGAAGATATTTGTAATTTGCCAACACTGTCCTGAAAAAACCTATAGTACATCTCAGGTTGGATTCAGACTTCCAACCTGTGACTTGTAAAATGTAAAAGTAATGTAAAAATGAAATCATAATTCTACAGAGTAATAAAAACAACATGTAAAAAAAYAAAACTTTACTGATATAGAATATGGGACTAGGGTTGGGCAATATTGTCAAAAAAATTAATCACGATTAATCGTGGTATTTAGCCGATAACGATTAATTTGACGATTAATCCCCCGGAGTCCCTGGACATCCTTGTATCCTAGTCACATGACCAATTTATAGGGAGAAAATTGGCTCTTCGTAAAAACCTGTTCCAAATTGTGTCAAAATTACAGACTTCAGGCTGTACATCAAACTTTAAATTGTGTTGATAGATAAAAAAATTACACAACTTTTTTTTTAATGTTGGTCATATCTGAATGAGAGAGGAGCACCAARCAGTTAGTCTGCCTGGTGGCATTAATCGTATTAATCGTCAAGTGCCAAAAATTAATCGATTAATGTTTTTCTGACAATTAATTGCTCACGATAYGATTATGCCCAACCCTATATGGGACATGTGTAAATTTACCATGACCAGGCTGTCCTCACATGATACTGTGGCAACAGAAAGCCACATTTGAAGAAAACTTAGATTAAATCTCAGCTTGAGTTTGCCAAATGGCATGGAGGGCTCTATGGTCAAGCACTTCTCAGCTGCAGACAGCCCTAATCGATATGAGCAAAACATCCATGGGTGTGCTTAGTTTTATTGGCACTGTTTATTTTACTAAGCTAACCAGCCTCATCGCTTATTAAAGGGATAGTCTGGTCGTTTTTGAATTGACAATTTAATCATTGTATAGTACATTATCAGCTGTGRCATCAGCCATAGAGCTCAGCTTAGAGCATGCGGGGAGGAGGCCAGAAGTCTTTGTCGAGGCTAATGACTAGCCAAACAAGTGACTGTTTTTATTTTGTTTTACAGGCTTTTAAAAAAGTGAAAAGAACACTAGTAMCTAATGGCACTTTTGTATGACACTGTTTATTTTGTTGCTGTTGTTGAGCATAAATAGGCCCTGTATGTTATGGTGCTGAGGCTGCTGGTTGTATCAGTCTGCTGGGAGTTGAGAACATTTTTTTGGATTGACTAGATGTGCTGATGAGGCAAACAAAAACATTCCCAGCCTCAGCACCATTTTCCTCTACACAGTTTTTTTTATGTTCAGCCCATGCATAGGACCACCAACACTGTCTTTATGAGAAAACTGCAACAAATTCAACAAAACRTTTCAATCAATACTAACTAATGTAGTTCTTTCACACCAGTATGGTGTTTTTGAAAATTTTCAGGCTTTTAAATCAATTTTATGAAAAACTGTTKGGCTACTCATTAGCCTAGCCTGGACAAAAGCTTCATCTATRCTTTGTGCTTWATGACTGATGTCACCACTCATAAGGTAGCTATTRGCTRTGTCTCAATTCATGGGCTGGGTAGGCTGCTCGAAAYTGCTGTGAAATGAGACGGTCTACCCTTYGTCTGATTTCGGCTTCACATGAGTTTGCGTGACCACGTGCTCGCCCATTACCATAGTGATCAGTTTCATATCAGACTTAAAATGTGTTGGGACATGCATTTACAYGTCGTTTTACTGGAAGAATAACTTCACAGTTAAAACGTTACACGTGAAAAAACAAACAACAACAAAAACAAAAAAAACCATTAATAATTCGGGTTTAGCTCCAGTATCTTCAACGGCGTATTAGGGCCACACAATGAGATTTTTTAAATATTATTATTACAACAACAAAATCATAATATTACGAAAAAAGTCATAATCTTACATTATGTTTCCATTTTCCATTCCTCATTTCCTCCTTATTTTCCTCACACCTGCTGTGTACAGCCACGTGTCTGTGTTTATAAAGTAGTCCATGATGACCCGGATCACTGTTAGATTAATATGCTTTCATCCAAATTAACTACATGACTAAATCTGTCAATGAATCCATTAATTACAGCTTCAGTTTATCATATAGTTGTTTGCACAATATCCAAGTCCTGCTACTGATAATTGAATGCTAACGTGCTAAAAGATTATTTATTTTTAAGCAGTACTAAAAACCAACTTGACAAGTTGCTCAACATTCCTCATTTTAATGCAGTTACTGTATAACTGCATGCTTTTAGCTTCATCAGAGCTAAACTACAAAATAAATCTGAAGCTTCTATGTTGAACAGTTTCTGAGTTATAAGCATTTTTGCATGTCCTGACACCCCCACTTTGAAAGGAGCCCCCTCCTCACATATGGGGTGTATCATAAAACCGTTGGCTGGCACAGTATAGGTCAGACTCACCTACAGCCTACAGCCTTCAGTCCTGCCAAATTTCATGTTGATCTTGCAGCCGTTTTTGTGCTACGGTTGACCAAAAATCACTGAAAAAAAAAAAAAACAGTACGAAAACAATATGACTCCCGCTTACACTTCACCTGCGGGGGTCATAATAATATAAAAACTCCACCGTCTTAATTTCTCTGTTTATTTTGCTGCTCACACATGGAATCCTGGGATATCCTCGGTCGGTGAAGATACACGGGTGCATCCTCAGATTTCGAGTTTGTCGGCCACATTCCTCGGCTGCACGATGAGGAGCCTTCGAATTGGGACAGTCCTCCTCGCGGGGCAGTGACGTATGCAGGCGATGTGCACTGATGAGGACCCAGCCCCTGAATTGAGACACAGCCATTAATAACTATTTGATAGGACATCACTTAAAAATAACAAAACTACCCCTTTAATGAGCAGTTGATTTTTCTTTCTCTGAGGCATCTGAAGCAGATCTGACCACATGCTGTAAGCAACTGTTCTGAATGGCTGAGGTACTGAAGTCATGAACCCTTCCTGAACTGGACCTGCAACTAAACCTTGTTACATTCTCTGCAAGAATCAATACATTTGTCTTTTGACTGAAGCTCACATCAGCACTCTTTTGTCTAAACATGTCAGTTGTTTTTGCAAATTTGTTGCAAAGTCAAAGTGCTCTTTTTTTCATAACGTTTTGACTTCCTATTTCCACAAATTGTTAGCCATTTCAGTGTATATGCGTGCTGTACTCTTAAAGATGTTATACTTTTTGTACTTCCTTGCTTCAAAAYTATCCTTTGAACAAATATCCTCACCAGTGGAAAAACAGGTATGTAAACATGTCAACTTTTCAGCATTAAACCCATGAGCCCACTTAAGCTGTCTGACCAATCATGCAATAGTTCTTGGAGACCACACAATAAAAAAGTTCTGTGCTGATGATTTGTCGAGAATGAGCTGCAACAGTTCCTAAATTAGGGTTAAAAGTAAAACAATGCCATAATTTTTTTCTCAAAACCCTGGGAAAGAGAACAACTATTTTGCTTTTTGCAAAGTATGTAGCACCCTTAACTCCTTCATCAGACTGTGCAAAATGTATTAATAATTAAATACTTCAAAGGTTAGACAGTATGCGAGTCACATATGGCCTGGGGGTTGCCAGTTGATGATCTCCACCATAGATAAAAAGTCATCAGCAGCAATATTATAGATATTTACCTATCATTTTGATGTTTGCTTATGTGT